TTCTGCTAACATAAAGGTTCTTCTCATCCTTCCATCTCCTTCTGTACACTGGTACACCAGTCCTGAACTCAGAGGAAGCTACTGCTTCTAAACTGACAATACAAGGCTTAGAACATAAATACTGAACTGAAACCTCAGAATTGTTAAGAACTTTCTTTTCTAAAATGTTTAAATAGATAAAATCTACATAATCCATATTCTTCTGAAACTGTGGAGTAACTGCTGTTGTCTGTAATGTCTCCTTTCCAAAGGACAGCACAAAGTTCTGGAAGAAAACCCAAAACACAAATATGTTAACCAGAGAATCTATGTGATTATTCATACACTCACGATAATAACAGAACACTGCACAGGCATGTATATACCACACTTTTACTTCAAAAGATGAGATTCCTTTTCCCAGCAAGTAGACATGGATTACTGGAGAGCCACCATCAAGACTTTAATGGCATCAACGTCCCTACGTCAAGTTCTCAAAGTTACACATGCTTCCACAAACAAACTGTATTTACAGGGTGTATCCTGCAGCCCTCATGCAAGTGGAATCCGGTCTAAGATAGCGACTTAGACGTCACGTTATTTAAACATGCTCCTAGGATCAGGCCTAAGGAGTTTGCACAAAAATGTACAGGCATACACTCATTATGTATCATTGTTTGCTAGGATTGCTACAGCCTGATGTTTCTGCTTCTTCTAAAAAAGTTAGCTAATTTTGTTACTTGTCATGAAGGTCCCTCAAGGATAAAATAACAACAAAGGCTTCCTGAGAATGAATTAATATTCATGAAGTGTTTCATTTTTGACATGTTTCTATTGTGAAGATGGACTTGGAAATCTGAGCAGCAAGACCAGCAGGCTGAATTTGCTCAGCTCTCTACATTATATAAGTTGGAGAGTGAGTGCCTGGACATACAACAGGATTATCCCCTGTGCTGAAGTTCTTGTCTCTAAAGCTTCAAACAGCTTCTTTTCTTTCTGCCTAGCAGCCAGCATCCAGCTTGATGCACTGCCAAGGATACTGGGGATTACTGAGCTCTGAGGGCAAGCCACCAGCACAGCAGTTCCACCATGCCCCCTGGTCTGTCTAAATATTCACAATTGTCACTTAGGATTACCAGGGAAGATGGTCATTAAGATTGCTCAAAATGAAATCTGTCTTGGGCAACTTTTAACTTTGCTAAGATTAAACAAATTAAAATAAAATTTATCTTGGATACCTATCTTAGATTGATGCCTTTTTCACTGTGTTTTTCAAAATATTTAAAGGGTTTGGCCTAGTCATTAGTACATTTCTAATGATAGAAATTATGTGTTGTGCACCTGGAGGACTAGACCTTGCCCACAATCCAATATTTTGGGGATCAGTAAAAGTCCCTAATGATAAACTACTTTGCTTCTTATTTCTTGAGAATATGTTGACACTCCTTGAGAGCTACACTGAAAAAAACATCAAGCCAGTAAGACCTGTGAAGGTGTAAATATTAGGAAAAGTCAGAACTCAGTCCTATACTACCTCCTTGCTCCTACAGATGAGGATTTTTGGATTTTTTGATCACCTGTGTGATCAAATGGTATTTTTCCCCAGTTCCCTGCCTCCTTAGAGGTGCAAAAGAGCTCAAGGTTTGTTGGTGGAACACAACTATGCATAGAGGTGCTGTTTACTTCAAGACCTTGACTTGGAAGTCACTGGAAGACATATCTGAATGAGGGAACTTTTGGACAAAAAAGCTAGATACCATTGTGAGCAGATGGGTAGCTCTAGATCACTTTATTTAGTGTTCCTAGGGAACTTGTCACTTAAACCACTTTCCATACTTGCAATCAAATGCTCTTTATCTTCTTGAATTCGACAAGAGACACTGCAAGTGAGGTGTGCAGTGATGTTGAACACTGATAAACACATGCAAGCCCCAAGATATACACCTCAAACAAACAAAATGCTAAAAACCCACAGAACACTATGCAACTGCCTATTGTAGAAAGCCAAAATACCATCTCATCAGAGTGACAGCCTTCCTCTCTGCCTTATCTCCCACTCCACAAAATGCATATTGGTTAGAGTACCGTGCTAATAATGCCAAGGTTGTGCATTTGATCCCTTTATGGGCCATTCACTTAAAGAGTTGGCCTCAATGATCCTTGTGGGTCCCTTCCAATTCAGAATATTCTGTGATTTTATATTGCAAAAACTATGCAAACTGAAGGGGCTAAAAAAGGAATAGCAATAGGAGGTTGGTGTCCATTGGAACACATGGTATGGTGTCTATCATATGCTGGAATAACACATGTACACAAATACTAAGACAAAAGTTGAGGAGAGAGCCTTCATTTTAATACTAATTTGAGTACCTTTCAGAGCTTCACTTCACAAAAGATACTATTCTTTTACATTTCCAACACAATTCTTCTTTGGTTTAAAAGTATTAAAAGCACATAGCCGCAGCAACAAATTATCCTAAACCTCTTGTATTTGATGGTTTTAATTAATATTTCTTGATCTTACAATAAAGAGTACTTGTAAGTAGCTTAATCTTTGTGATAAGGGTGCTGTGTCATGAGGAAGATGGTAATATACTATGAACACAATGCCATGTCATTATCACAAGATGCAAAAGTCTACCAGGTAGATACTAAAAAGCATAGGGGTGCTAATGTGTGCTTACCACACACACTTACTGTCAAAACACACACAGCCAGCTCTCAGTTTTCTCAGTGGTTATCCAGTACAGAGCAATGGGAACTAGACTCCAGCAAGGACAGCTTGGGTCTGGCACAGTTCATTCACAAAGATGCAGCAGTGTATGAATATGTCCATCTGAATTCCAGTGAATGGCAGAAATTTTGTGGTGGGGGATCCCAAAGCAGTAAGCTTTCAAACCCAAAGCCAGGTCTTTGCAGAACAGTTTCTATGATGTTCCTAGAGCACTTAAGCACAATGCAACACAATTGCTGATGCCTAAGTTTAGCTTCAGCTCTGCTGATCTAGTGCCTTTCCTGTAGTGCCCAATCTGCTAAATGGCTCCCCATTTTACTTTGTATTCTTTGGGCCCTGGGTATTACTTGAGGCCCGTGCTGCCAAAATGCATGAAGTGTATTTGAGTCTGCTGTTACATTCCACCTAACTAACCCTTCTGGAGGCTCATCCAGTAAACAGCATGGAGCAAAGAACCCTGAGCAACCCCATATGATGGAGACCTGGCAGAGACTGCAGACCATACACCTCCAGACCATGGCCAAGTCTCTGTTACCACTACACAGTGCACAGAGTGTGTATCATCTCAATGTTCCTGCTTGGTGAGGAAGCCTGTTCCCTTCCTGTTATATCAGACAAGGCAGAGGTAAATGTGCATCACCTCTGAGAAAGAACAAAAATGAAAAGATTACACATTGAGTGTGATTATGAGACTTAAATATAAAAGTTTTCCAGCATGCTAAAGAGGCCAACTACGCTGATTCAAAATATTATCATGAACCAGGCAAAGTTCAACAAGACAGACATAAAGGTTTTGTTGTGGAGGGTAACTTAGCCATTAAAGCTGTAAATGTTTTTGGTTTTTTTTTCCTTTTCTTAAATCCTGCTGAATCTGAATGAATAAGCCCAAGTCATCCCATCAGATCTTGGGATAAAAATCAATGTGGGAGGCAAATACTGCAAGCATTAGGAAACTGAACATTTTCAGTAGTGTAATAATACAGAAATGATTGAGCAAGTATTCTTTCATTTGCTGGAGGTCTCAACAGGACCCTCCATGAGTTCAGCTCTGCAGAAATTTCACAAAACTCTATGAAACCTGCATCTGTTTGCACAAAACCTGAAGATAACTGCAGTTCTTCACCTGCAAATGTCCAACACGTCATGCTACATTTTACGATGTGTGAAAAGAAGACATGACAAAAAAGGGTGTTAATCTGCTGCTCTCCATCAGCACCAACATGGTACAGGCACACAAACACTTTGACCAGAACTTACGTTTAGCAACAGAAAAGATGAAAAAGTAGTTTAGTAACTGGCTCTAAACCACACTTATTTCCATAAGCCAGTGCAGCACTATGTTTAGTCGTTCATCTGTACGCAGATGTCAAAGGCCTCCCCATTTTTCCCACTCTAGAAGTTTATCGTCAGCCAGGGCAGAAATCCCAACGCTTGGCTGTGACGGCTCGGCGTCCCCAGCTCAGTAAGCCAGGCCCCAGTAACCGCGGGGCTGGCAGGGGGCGCGGAGCCAGGCCGGACAGCCGGGGCTGGCTCCGAGGGGCAGCCCCGGCCCGAGCCCCCGAGCCCCGCCGGACCCGGGCTGGGCTCCCTCCGCCTTGCAGGAACGACCCGCGGCCCCGCACGGGCCGGCCCTGCCCGGGCTGGGTCCGCGGGGGCAGGTGCGGGGCCGGCGGCACTCACCGTGAGGAGGACGAGGAGCAGCGGAGGGGGGCGGCGGGGCTCGGCCGGGGGCCGCATGCTGCTGCTGCTGCTGCTGCTGCGGCGGTGCCCAGCGCGGCAGGGACTGCGCGGCCGGCCCGGCGACAAGGATGCGGCAGATCCGGCTTCCTGGAGGAGGGGCCGCCGCCCGGGCAGGGCAGGGCAGGGCAGGGCAGGGCCCCGCTCCGCCGCCGCAGGTGCGGAGGGGCTGGGCCAGAAGACGCCGAGCCCCGGCCGTGCTGCGCAGCTCCTTGGCGGCTTCTGGGAGCTCCGTACAGTAGGCGCCGGGCGGCGGCCCGGGAGGGATCCCCGTGCAGGGCCGTGCCCGCCCACTCCCTTGGCGGCTCCGCGGCGGCCCCCGCTCTCCCGCCTCGGCGCTGCGCTGCCGGCGTGGTCCCGGGCCGGGACAGCTCCCGCTGCCGGGCGAGGCGCTTTAGGGCGGGGCGGCGGGACTGGAGCGCATCGTCTGGGGCTGCCCGGGCCGGGCTGGCAGCCCGACCGCACCGGCCCCGTGCCCGCGCTGCGCCCCGCCGGCCGCGCGGGGGCGCCCTCCCGGCGGGCCGGGCCGTGCCCCGGAAGGCCCCGCGCAAGCCCCGCGCCGCGTCCGCCCGGCCATGGCCGCGCTGTCCCGCACGATCGGCATCTTCGGCGCCTTCGTGGCCATGGTGGGAGCCGCCTTCTACCCCATTTATTTCCGGCCGCTGCTGCTGCCGGAGGAGTACAGTGAGTCCGTGCGCGGGGGGAGCTGGCTGGGCCATGGCCCGGTCTGTGCCCGGCCTTGGGGGAATGCGGGGCTGCTGCTCGGCGAGTGACTCCCCAGGGGCTTTCTGCTCGTCTAGGAGATACCTGAAAACTAAAATAATACAGCTCGCCGTTGCTCTTATTTCAAATTATTGGCCAGCACGAACATCCTTCAGCTGCTCCTTAGAGGATTGACACGCAGTTGAAGAAATTGAGATCAGAGAGATGGAGCCTCTCCCATGCAGAAAGGCTAAGAGAGTTGGGCTTCTTCAGCCTGGAGAAGAGAAGGCTTCAGAAAAACCTTGTAGAACACTTGAAGAGAGCTTGTAAGAAAGTTGGGGTAGGCTTTTTAGTAGGCCCTGTTGCAATAGGACTAGAGGTAATGGCTTTGAACTAAGCAGAGTAAATAGAAGGAATACATTTATGATGGTGGTGATGAACCACTAGAACAGATTGCCCAGAGGAGTGGTGGGTGTCCCATCCCTGGAAACATTCAAGATCAGGTTGGACAGGGCTCTAAGCAACTTGATCTAGCTGAAGATGTCCCAGCTCAGTGAGGAGAGGTGGACTAGATGACCTTTAAAGGTCCCTTTCATCCCAGACTGTTCAATGATTCTATGAGCTGTTCGAGTTCTGTTTTCCAGCTGCAATTGAAAATCTAACTTAAAACTTGGCAGCCAGTTGTGATGATTTGCTAGAACTGGTCTCAGTCTGCAGAGTCTCTGAAACTGACTCCCGAGGAAAATCCCACTTTCCTGCCAGGTAAACCTGCCAAGCCCCGAAGGCAGCTGCAGCTCCAGGTGTGAAGCCTCAGCAGCTCCAGGCTGGTGCTCTATAGGGAGCACCCATTACTCCTCCTCAACTTCTGTGAGATGGTGCTGAAGGAAATGGGGGGAAAGTGCTGGTACAACCAGCCTTGCACCCCCACTTGAATTTTTATGAGACTAAGCAAGCCTATACTGTGAAGATATGTGTGGTTAATCTGCCAAGAGAACTGAAGATTTCTAGGAAGGAAAAAGAAAAAAGGATAACAAACCTAATGGTTTTATTGGAGAGGCTTTGGCCTGGCATCAAAGGTCAAGGAAAATTTAACTTACAAGCAAGTTTTTATTCAAGGATACTATGTTTGTGAAACTTCCTACAATTATGTTTCCTACTCCGTGTTTCCTTTGAAAACATTATTACTAAATCTTTTTTGCTTATGCTATACTTTCCAAAAATACTATATTTGAAATGTGTCTTGGCAGTAAGCAAAGGACAGAACTAGTGGAGCTATGTCTTCCTTTGTACTTATGAATTATGTGAGTAGATGTTTTCAATCAGTTTAGGGATTTTTAATTTCTATTTAGGACATAGAATTATTGAATTGATGCACAGTTAGCAAGTGCACAAACCTATGATTTGATACCTGATTCTAAACTTACTGCCTGGTGCTGAATCTCCATCTGATATCACCTTTATTCATTTCTAAGGAGCTTTTCTTGATTATCACTGCAGTATGAGAGGCACAAGCATTTGTTATCACAATACTTGAGGCAAGATTGTGGACTATCACAGTTGTGGTGTTTGAATCCAAGTATTTACCTTTTGGAGTACAGAGGATTTTGTGAGTACAGCCAGCTGTATGACAACTTCCGTAGAAGCTCCCGCCCTCTGTTGGCTTGAGCTCTGGGAAAATGCTCAGTATTTCTGTGTTTGGGGATGCTGTGTCCCAAAAGTTAGGTGTTCTGATTAGCATCACAGAATAATCATGCAAAAGGCAAGAATGAATATTAGTTACCTGGAGTGACATTGAACTATGTAAACATGAAGTGCTGTCTTTTCTTTCTTCACTCTTGTTTTTCTTGTGTATCTCCCAAATTCTATACAAGTGAAGTACATTAACGTTCTGGAAGAAGACTTTACTGCACAATTCTCAAAACATCTTCAGAGAAGTTCCTAGCAGTTTAACAAACAAGATGAAAGCTACTTGGAAAAACTGTATATAATCAAATTGTTGATATGAACCGTAAATTATGCACAAAGGAGTTTGACCTAATTTTATACAGAAATGTTATATTTCTGTAGGGTTTTAGTACTTCAGTTTTTTGGCTTTGCTGTTTCTAATATTTTCTTGCCTGTATGTAGTTTTAAAAATGACTGCAGTTTAGTGGCAATGATGAAACTTTGAGGCTGTCAGCACAGGCCTTTTCCACATGGATTAACTAAAACAGTGGCTTGAGAGCTGCTCTTTGTGATATTTTCACAGGTTGCCTGATTTTCTGAATTGTGAGACTGTTTCTTCCCCATCCTGGGAGGTGGCTCTCCTGTCACCAAGACTGAATCTTCCTTGTTGCTCTTTTCTGGCTTACCTGTCTTCCAAGTTGTTTGCAGGCCCAGCTGTGTTCCTATTGACTGTTCTGTGTCCTGTCTGTGTATTTATCATCTCTTAAGTTTTTGCACAGGTTTCTTTGCCTGACCAGTTAACAGCTCCTGCTGTTCAACCCAAGTGTGTCCCCAGAACTCTCAGATTGGTTCCTGTTTTTCCTGCCTCTCTTCTAATCCAAGTTTCTACTCAAGACTGAATATCCTTTTCCTTCATGTCCTACAGGAAGTCTCCTTTGTTGCCCTAATCTATTCTGTTCTCCCCTTCTGGATTTTGTGCCTTTTCCTTTGAAATTAGACAAGTCCCCGTGATTTTGTCTGCTAAAAAGGATGAAATGGAATTACCGTGCTCAGTGAACAGAATTGGAGAACCTGGATGTGCCTCTAGTGCCTGTCCCCTTGCAGGGAGAATCAATTACTGTGATATACTGCAAGTCTCCAGTAGCATTAGGCTTGTACCTAGCCAGCCTGATAACATGTAATGCCAGTGCATTCCCAATGGGGTAGGATAATGAAAAATACCAGTTTTAAGGTGAGCTTATTTCTGAGCTTCCTTTGGGAATGTGCACCCTGCAGGTTTAAAGGCCTCCAAAAGTTCAGTGGTGGGGGCAAAAGGTGAATCCACCTGAGCTTTGACTTACTGCTTCAAAGTAGCAATGTGGTGGTGAAGTGCATGACTGGAAATAGAAAAAAAGGAGGGGCATTTAGTAAGGGAAGTAGTTTTCTCCATTTCTCTATGTGGAAGTGGTTGAATCATTCAAAGAAAAAAGAAAAGCCTGAGACAGGCCCAGTGTATGGGAAAATATCCCTCAGATGCTGAATTTCACAAAGTTTACAAGCAGTAATTTTGTAGGTACCGTCATGGAATCTGTTTGCAAGATCTTTCAGGTCTTGAAAACAGGAGTTGCCCAAAAGAAAAAAAAATACTTTGACTAGTTTTATGTTGAGCATATGAATGAGCTTCTAAAAGTACTGGTCATTCCTTAAGTGCTGGGACCATGGCAGGTGTTTTGGCATCTTTATTAAACAGTATAAGGCATTGTTTGAGGATGATTATCTTGTTGTTTGTAATCTCTCGAAACAGACTAGCTGTTGATTTCTCAGTGAAGTAGGAAGACTACATTTGCATTTTGTAGGTAGATACTTAACCAAATTTTACTGTGAAGCATCTCAAATTAATAAAATTTTCAAGATTATTTTATTGGGTGCAATCAAGTTATCTGGTATTTTCTTTTTTTTAGTAGTGTCCTTTCTGTTCTGTTTTCCAGAGAATGAGCAGTCAATAAACCGAGCTGGTATTGTTCAAGAGGATATTCAGCCTGCAGGTACACTTGGTTTATGTGTTAACATCAATTGTTTTAAAGATTCTCTTGAAGTAAGGCCTCAGTATTTATATGGATTTAAATAATACAGTGAAGAATACATTCAATGAAAGCATATTTAATAAACTTGCCATTAAATTATTTTTTCAGGCTAATTCCTCACTGAAAAATTATGGTTTTAATGAAACTCATCTTAAAGTGACTTAACTGGCCAAATAAGTTGCAAAATTTCTGTTGTCTTCACACTTTGTTAAATAGAGGCCAGTTTCCACTTCTGAACCAGCTCAGAGTGAGCAAGAACCATGGATAGGCTGAGCTGTATCTATAAAGAACAATGTTGCACCCCAATTTTGTGGAATACCAAACTCTGCTGAAACACAGTTCATCAGCACTTCGGCAGTGCCTTCTGGCTTCATGGATGGATGGGCCATGCAGAAGTCCACTACATGTGAAGGAAAATTTGGAATGCAGTGCTAATAGCTTTTGGATCCTTGCTGCTGACAGTGGAAGGCTTAGAAAAGCATGTGAGGGAAGTAAAATTCAAGTACAGCAGACTAGCCTTGATAGTTCATTTTTTTATAATGTTAAATGGAGTGTTAAATCAAGGCTGGCATTTCTTGATTAAAGATGTGAGAGTGCCTGTCTTGATGAAGCATGTAATATCTGAATATGTTAAAGGGTATTTTTGTTTTTGAAAAAGCCTAATGTCAGCAGCAGGTGAAAATCAACCAGGATTAAAGCCATGACCTTATTACATGCATTGTTTAGATCATTACTGCAGGACTTGCTTTCCAGGGAAGTGGAGAAAATGCTGAAGAGAAGTAGGAAGGGTATTGTGAAATAGAGGTCTTGTAAACCTGTCTTTTTTACTAAACATTCAAGAGGACTGGACTGGCTCATTTATCCAAGATGCAGGTACTTAATGACCAGTTCTTCTTTGTGTAAGTTCTCCTTTTCATCTGAATTTAGCTGCTGATGAGTTGCGAAATCCATTAGTTGAAAAGGAAACCTAGACAAATTTAAGTATAAGGTGCAATTCTAAATGATCCAACAATTTTAGAACACCTTGCCTATGAATGTCATAGATTTTTCCATTATCTGAAGTGTAAGATCAAGATGAGGTTGTTATTCTGTATATTTTTGCAAGTTTAAGCAGAGGTGCAAATTCAGTGCGGAAATTGTTGTCTTCTTTCATTGTTTATAATACACAATGCTGGAGTAGCAGACCTGTTTGTTTTTTTCTCCAACAGTCTAAATTATCAACTGCTGCTGTTCTGATGTTTGATTTGTAGGGTTAAAAGTGTGGTCGGATCCATTTGGAAGAAAGTAATTGGCAGCTGGGTGGATTGCAGAACTGAAGATGGACATCTTCAGCTGCTGCTTCTTTCACTGAAGTGTGTCTTTAGGTGTTGCTGGAGCAGAATTCTGAATATGCTGTGTGGGCACATGAGGAGCAACAAAGGCTACTGGTTGGAATCCCAAGAGATAAAAACATGCTAGTTTTGAGAGAGAATGCTGGTGTATAGCTCACAGCCTGTTAGAAAGCTGAATGATTATTGAGTATAGACATGAAATACTTATTTCCTTGAGAAAAGGAAAAAGGATTTTCTTCTAATCTGTACACTTGTAAATTATGGATAGAATAAATCATGCAGACTGCTGCAATTTCCTCCCTAGTTTGAAAGTTACAACATGGTGAATGTAAATTTGTACATTAAAAAATTTAAACCAATTTGTACTTTTTTTTCATTGTTTTGCAAGTGTGTGTGGAAAGTGCCTTGGTTGCCTGTCAGGTGTGTCCCCCTGGGCATTCTTACTTCTTCTCCTCCAGTGGACAAGGGGAGTAAATAGAGTAGCAGAGCCCGTGGGTCTGGATAAACACAAGGAGATTTCTCAGTTACTTTTGTAGGCAAAACAGACTCAACTTGGATAAAATCAATGTAGTTAAGTAAGTAGAATTATGACACACAACATTTTAAAGATCATTGCAGGATGCTGTATTTGTTGAAAAATGTATGGGCAGAGTGTTATTCCTAATGTTAGCAGATGTTTGTCATCTTTTTGGACATCACACACTGTTATTAGGACAACAGATGAAAGACTCCATCTTTACAGTGTTACTTTCCAAACTGCTGTTCTGCTACTTGCTATTCTATTTCTGCCTGTCATTGTCATTACTCTCCCACTCAGACATACCTCTCCTCCTATGAGTTAGTTTTTATTTAGTCTTCTATTATCACTCTAAGCATTAGAATATTTTCTGTTTGCTTGTTGGTAAAATGTGGCCATGTTTGATTCCTTCGGGTTCTCAGGTCATTTTGCTTGATGTTTGGAGCCAGAGTGAGTGTACCCATTCAGTGTAGGGATCATAGATTGGTTTGGGTTGGAAGGCACCTTAAGGCTCATCTAGTTCTGATGCCTTGAGAGGCTATCTAGAACAGAGGCTAGACAGAGTTAAAGGAATAAAGTAGGTATTTATTAAAAGGCCTTCAAAGGATACACCTTGGGCAGTACAAGAGCCTGGCTGTGCCTCCACCCAAGATGGATGCCTGGTCTGAGTTTTCACACTTTTATAGGTTTTTGTCCATTTACATATTGGGGTTAATTGTCCAATTACAGTTTCAGTTAAGAAGTCCCATCCTCCCAGATTGCTTTCTTCAATTTGCTGTTTACACTTTTTGGGCCTGAAGTGTCCTTGGTTCTCAGGCTGGAAAAGGATTGTTTTGCCTAACTAAACTGTGAAGAGAACTTGCTAACACTTTATATGAAGTCTGAGTTATACTCTAAGGCAGTACAGAATCTGGAAAATACAAAAGCTAAAACTTGGGGCATCAGTTCCAACCCTGCTGCCATGAGCTGGAACACCTTCCAATAGACCAGACTGCTCAGGGCCCCATCCAGCTTGGCTTAGAACACTTCCAGGTGCCCACAGCTTCTCAGAGCTACCTGTTCCAGTGCCTCATCACCCTCACAGTAAAGAACAATGTCATCATATCTCATCTAAACCCACCCTCTTTCAGTTTGAAGTTTCATTATCTAGAACAGTACAACATTGTCACAAAGCTAATTGAGTGTTTGCTGTGAAAACAAGAATAGAGCTGAAAAAGAAGTTTTTATAATTTAAACCTTTCTTCAGTGAGACTGCAGAAATGAGGGAGCCTTAGGTTTTTGGTTTTCTTGAACAAAACATTCATGCATCAGACCATTTCAGCAAAGTTCTTTCATCTACAATACCTCCTCAATGAAAATAAAACTGCTGAAATGCTCCATCAATAGAACATAGTTTAGATACTCCATCTATAACTGACAAGCTGCAAACCAAAGATTTTTCAGAGAATGTGGGAATTTCTGAATTTCTCCATTATGCAGCTTCTGTCACTTGGTGACACAAATGCTTTAAAAATCATAAATCATGGTAGTGTGGAACCATCAGTATAAATGATGTGACAGAGAATGTGAAATTACTTAGTTTGGGGTTAAGAGATAAGACAATCTCTGCTACTCGTTTACTTTGTGAAGTTGAGCAATTTGCTGAGTCTGGTCTTGCCTAGAAAAATGTTAGATGGCTTCTGAGCAGTGGCTGCTGGTGGCAGGTGCTGAGCATTTTGCCTTCATATTACCTAAATGTTGCAAAACATTTGAGTACCTGAACTCAGTTATTTAGCATTTATAGAACTAAACATTGGTCATGCTGGTCATGTTCACAGATTCCTTCTGGTGCAGAAAAGCTTGGTAAGTTTTGTAATTGCCCATTTGTACAGAATTTACAGCAGTTTATATCAGTTGAGCACTACTGAAGTGAATCTAAACTCTAAAAATGGTGTACATTGGTATTAATGAGCATTGCTTCCCACTCATGTTCCACCTAATAAAGTGGGCTGATGGACCATGGCTTTGAAGCATTGGATAGTGAATGTCTTTTTCAGATTTTTGCTATTCTGTCTGGATAAAACCAACAAGGTACGTACTGCAGTAGTTACCCAGAATTTACCCAGAATAGTTACCCAGAAATGTTCTGATTGCTCTGGCATGTGCCAGTTGCCTGGAGACTTGCCCAATTCTCCTGTGTTCGGTTCTAGTCCTGCAGCTGGCTTTGAGACAATGCTTTGTTCTGCTCACGGATGTTTGACGTAAGCCTCTTCTTCCAGGTACCCAGTACCAGTGAAGTTCAATGTAGTGAGCTTTGCTCTCCAGGACTCTTACCTTGCTCTGGAAGTAAAAGCTCTTCACCACTTTCATAACCTCCAACTACTATTAATTTGGTGATTGGGAGAGACTAGGCCTGCATTCTGCAGAGCAACTAAATTTCCTAGTTTGGGCCAAGTTGTTCTGATTGGTAAAAATGCCTTAGAATATTATTAAAGCAGTTATCTCTATCCTGTTACATGAATGCATTTTGCTTATTTATTATAGCTGGAGGTGAACAGCAAATACACCTTCAGCCCTTGAAGGACTGAAGGAAAGTTTTAAACAGTGGTTTAACGTCCCAAGAGAAACTGGTTGTACTAGGTTTTGGCCTGTTGCATGCTGATGTTTTGCAATTATTAAAACTTGTTCCATAAAGAGCAAATCTAGCATTTTGGTCTAAACACATCTTAGTTTTGAAGCACTGCAGATTGTTGATGATGCAATGAAAACCTCAAGTACAAACACATGAGAAGGAATAAATATGGCAAAAGATATGGGCAAATTACCAGATTATACACATGTGGGAAAAGGAACAATCTCAATAAATGAGTATAATATTCAGCAAAAAAAATCCCATGGGATTTTGAAAAAAATCAAGTGGGATTTTTCTTGCTGAATATTGTAATTATTAATTGAGATTATGCCAAATGATGAGAGGGGATTTTTTATCTGTGATACTCAAAGCATATCAAATATCTTCCAGTTATTGTGAATTTTACTCTATATATGCCCTCCCATGAAAAAGCAGCCCAGAAGAAGCAGTTCTCATGTTTTGCTCTTTTCTAAACCAAATTAAAGCATGTGTTTTCCCTTCTTGGAGTCTAGCAATAATTAACTACTCATTTTCTTTCTATTGTGTACATTCCTACTGACCTTCATGTTAACATGCAGATGCAGCAGTAAATGAAAAGCTGTATTGGCTTTTTCTGTTGTGCCACACAACCCAAAAAGTATGTTTGCTAGTGGAAGGAAATTATTCTCCAGCTTCTGAGAAAGTACTGTGGGATATACACTCTTTCTGTGTGGACAATTTGCAAGAGGTGAGAGCAAAACACAAAGTTCAGGTCAAAGCTTAGGTTGGACTGTGGTCCGAGGTCTCTCTCTCCATCGTGCAGACAGTGTGGGCCTTGCAGGAAAAATGGTGCAGTTTAAGGCACTGTCTTGGAAAATAGGACTGTTGTAGTCAGTTCCATATTCCACCACGCTTTTGTCTGGCAGCAGGTAAGTAATTTAGTCTTTGAGCTTCAGTTCCGTCTGTAAAATAGCATAAATAGTGCTCCCCTTCTTTGCAATTGAAGGTAAATACAGAAGTGTGGGGTTTCTTGATGCTCTAGAGAACATTTCTCGTCTGAGACGTTTTCTTCAAGGTTAGGAAAAATGGATCTGAATTTGTGTGAGAATCAGATATTTGGGTTCCAGAAATTTAAAATGTTTTGAAAAATCTTTTCCGAAAGAAAATAACAATGAAATTTCCCAGATCTTCATACTGCTGAAATACTATCTTATGAGAATAGAAATTTTATATTTTGGGAGGCAAACAGAAAACTCCTCTGTTTTTCACAATACTAATATTTTTTGGAAGAACTGCAAATATGAGTGAGTTGAAATTCAACCCAGTGTGAATGTTTTGTACAGATGTACAAAAAAAGCAAAAAATTGATCAGCTTGTTTTGGTGGTCCAGCTACCTCAGCAATTTTTTGAGACTCAGCAATTTTCAATATTTTGAGTTGCTATTTCCCTTATTTTCTGTAACAATGGGTCCTCCCTTTTGACCTTGGCATGCCAAAAAAACAACTGTAATCCTTCTAAGAGTTACAGGTGCTAAGTGGAGGAGATTGGGGCACAGTGAAAGGAGATGAGAAAACTCGAGATACTGCTGGGAACAGTGTTCCTCCTGTAGCCCCAGAGGAGCACTTGGAAGTGGAGTGGTGGATATGAAGAGGAGACAGCATTCAGTTGAGTGGGAGCATGAGGAACACAGGACATAAATCCATTGGCATATACAGCCATGTAGGCTCTGCAGCTCACAGAGCAAATTGGGATACCTCTTGACCTCTTTTCTGTTTCCTCCCCAGCAGATTGGAAGTAAACCTTTATAAAGAAAGTTCCTAGGCAAGACAAAGGTTATCAGAGAAGAGAGCATCTGAGGAGGAATTGTATAGCTGTCCTTTGCTCTCGCTTACCTTAAGAGGCCAAACATCAGAGAATCATTTGTGCTGGAAAGGACCTCATGCTGAAAAATGTCTTTTAGGCTCCAGGTCGCAGGGAAAGGTGCCTCCTATCAGCTTCTTTCCATAATTCAGAAGAGTGAGTATCAGCAATGCCAGTCAAGGTAGGGGAGGAAGGTGTTCCCTTTGCTTCAGAAATTCCTGTGGGAGGAGTTCTCAGCAAACCCACAAATGGATGGCTCAGATGCAGTGTAGGAATGTATTCTTCCACTCTGAATGAAGAGAAACCACTATGGATATAACCAGAAGTATTTGCTCCCTTATCTATTCTATATGAATTTTCAGGTGCTAGTGGCTGTGGCAGGCCACCTGTAG